ATTGAAAAGAAGAAGCATTGAAGTTGTGCACATCGGTTTTTGTTTTTTGATTTTTGCATTAAAAATGGCGCTAGAGAGGGGTCAAAAGTTAGAACGCGGAAAAGAGCAAAAATTTTGACATATTTTCCTTTATATCTTTAAAATTAAAAATATTTTGTTAAAACATGTAGAATAAAAGTTGTGCATAATAGCAAGAGCTTTCATTTGATATCATTTAAAAGGGGCTGGCCCCTATAATTAGGGATCTAGAGCCCTTGAAAGTTTTCGCTTTATAACTCAGAAACGGTAAATATTTCGATATGGCTTTCGGAATTAAAGTTGTTCTTTAACACCTTATTAATCTCATACAAATGTTGTTTTGTTCGAGTATTGCGTAATATGTCGTAATATGTAGGTAAAAAGCAGGTCCCGTAAACAGGTAAGCGTTTTCAATCGGCAAGTAAATCAGAACTCTTCATGTGTATAACTTTAACAAACTTGCAATAAATTATATACCCTACTGTATTTTATGCTAATTTTCTTCTAAATAAGGTTTTAAACGTGTTCTGTGGTTCACTCATAAATTATTTTTTACAACTTTCTTTTCTTTTTTAATTTAGATTTAAAGGGAACACGTCTTCAAATAAAGGAAGGAATTAAATGTATCTATTAATTATTCGATGCTTAAAGTTTAATATTACTTATATTAAACTTTAAGCATCGAATAATTAATGAACATTAACTGTACGCATTTTACCAGTTTACGTTCTCCATGTTCACCTCGATGTTATGGTTATGTAACACAACCCGCGATCCCACGTTGCCGAGGTCACCAGTGTACCAGGCACCTGCGGTCATAAGCCATGTAAACAAAACAAACATCTGAGAAGACAAATCCATTGTGTAGAAACAACGATTAATGAAACATTATGTTTTTTTTATTTATATCGAATCTTTAAGATAACTTAATCTCATCTTTGATTTAATCTTTACGAATTTTAATCGCTTTCATCGACCTGGTCACTGTTGACACAACAATACGATTAAAAAAAAAATATTTCTCTATCCCGTGTTATAGTATTCTATTTCAATTGTAATTGAAAAGGTGCTACGGCAAAGAATTGTATTTAGTGATACTTGTGTAAAGTATAATTTTTACTATCAGTCTCTTGTTTCTTCATTTAATTTTTCATTTAATATTAAATAAACTATATACGTAAAATAATACTTTTAAACAAACAATAATTCGCGCCTTCTTACAGCAGACAGTTTATATTCCGCTCTGTCTCTGTGTTTAACTTCAAAATTTGTAACCCACTCGTCGTTCACACGTGGCCGCAGAGATTAGCGAGCCGCGGTCATATCGGTGTTAAAAATTTAATGCAATGTGTACTCATAGCGATTAATGGAAAATTGTACATGTGTTTGAAATCATTTCAAATCTTAAATATTATTTAATTTCACTCTACATTTGTATCTCACGCTTATTTTTATCATTATCTTATCCGCCTGTGTATTTATTCATTTTAAGTTTTATGCATTTTAATTGCCGACTTAACCACTAGGTTTGCAACAATTTATTTTTCTGTCTCATGTTTTAAACTGCATGTACACATGCATAATAATTGTAAGTGGAGGTGACGTTTTCAATTCTCGGGAAAATCGAAAATTAAATTAATCACTTCTGAGTTTGCATTATTTGCTACCAAACTTACAATTGTATTGTACAGAATGACATACTTATGCATTTCTTTTATTTCGTCGAATAAACAGAATATCCCAATACACGATTTTACGGATACATGCTTGTAAGTACAAGCAGTTTTACATGGAAGAGCGCCCAAAGTAAAGACATCCTGAGCTTTTAGAATATACATGCTTGTGTACAAAGCAAACGGGTAATTCACAGATAAGGAAAAACAGAAAAAAACATCTCTCCATAAATTAAATACACAATCGCAATGATGTTTTGATTGATCAGCATACGGTTTTTTATCCTGCGTCCATGCATTTCGACTATACGGAAAAAAGATCCGATTCGGTAAAATTATAGCAAACGTGGTTGAAAATTGTCGGACTTTTTATCCAAATTAAAAAAAAATGTGTTGGTCCTTTGAATGGCAATATATCCGAATAGTAATTAAACAGCCTATCAAATATATCACGGCGTCCATATAAGGGTGAAACTTTGTTTGGTAAATAAAGTGGTTCTTACAAATATGTCACAAATCTTAAACAACTAATTTAAATAATTATTTAATTTATCTAACAAATACTAATTTGGTTCTAAGAAAGCCACGCAGTTGTATACAAATATTCCAAAATAATCTTTCATGTTTAATGGACTGACAGGTGATCAAATTTCCTCTCATTACGATACGTACCCCCCCCCCTTTAAAGAATACAATGTTTTTCTTTAGAGCCGAAAATGTCAATCGGTTGGTTTGTTCAGGTACGTATACATATAGGTGAGGGCTCGTGTTGAATTCCGAGAGATATCCACAACCTATTTTAATGTAAACCAATAATCATACGCGACATTTGTTATTCGCGAATCGTCAAATGAATGAAAAACAAGGTCTGCAACGATTAATATCTGTGACTAAGCTTTCCTATTTTATAAACTTTTTAAGGTCTTTTATTTTATTTTAAGACTTAAAAAATGTAACGATTTAATGTGTTCATTGGAGTGGTCAATTGAGCGTCGAAGTGTTTACTAATAGTTTCTTTGGGTGAGGGGAGTTACCATTTTCGGTTTTTGCATTTGATTTCCGGAATTTTGCATTGCACTTTCGACAATTAATAAATTTCACTTTTAACATTTATTATTTTCATCCTGATTTTTGACTATATTTCCAGAATTTAATGTTAACAAAATAGATGGAATTAAAATTTTGATAGGATATAAATGGTGAATGGCTGAAAATTTATACATTTAATAATGTACATGGTACTTACGGTCTTTGAGCAATAAGGGATGGAAATCGGAGAAAATGATCAGCATTCCACAGGTGAAATGTTAACGAAAAATGTACTTTTTCTTTGTGGAAAAGAGTGAAAGAGAATAATCTAAATGTGGATACTACACTCTCTTTATTTGATACATATGTAGGTTCTGTTCTTCATTATGGATGTGAGATGTGGGGATTTCATAAAGCCCCACATGTTGAGCAAGTACATATTAACTTTTTGAAGAAAATTATGTCGCTTCGAAAATCTACAAATAACTTAATGGTTTATTTCGAATTTGGTAGATGCCCAATGTATGTTCAAAGAAAACTTCGAATTCTGAACTATTGGTGTAATTTGCTCAATACAAATAATTACATTCTGCGGACATGTCATAAACATATGTGAGTATGAAGAACAACAGGGAAATTGTACAAACTGGTTAAATGCAGTTAGAAAGCGTTTTTAAAACGCTATTTGGTTTGAGTAATAAAATCCTTTAAAAAGAATATTGATGACTACCCTAACTCATCTGGAAAATCTGCAGCAAAATTTAAAATTCTAATGAATCGATTTCGACTTCTTTATCAAAATTTTTCCCGAACTTTTCCGTAGACCTCTGGCTTTTCCCTTTAATTCTGTAACACTCGGAACTCGAGAGTTACCCGCTAGGTGTCGTTTCTGCATCACTTCCGTGTAATTTCTACTTTGATATTTCCAAGTCTTACATTTCTTACGTTTGACGATGAATACTCGGATTATTGTGGAATGCATAGGCAATTAAATAGCACGATTAAAGACAAAAAATATCTACCGAAACAAGATATAATAACATATTTTGGTGACATGTGGTAGGTATATGATATTTTAGGCCCGATATCCAAGAGAGGTCCAGTGTTAACAAAATAAATGGAAGTGACTTACCTTCTCTATTTCATAATACCGCGGGTATGATTTTTGAATAAAACGTTAATTCTACGGTAATTTTTGATTTTTCATATGGAATACATTGTAAATGTGTACTAAAAGATTAATTTATGGAAAAAGACAAATAAAAATATTCTTGGACCCCGGGGTGTGTATTGGGTGCATATTGGGGGGGGGGGGGTCCTGTCCACAAGCACCTGTGCAACATTCAAGCTTAAAAGACCATTCAAACAATATATACAAATTAGGAACAGTGCAAATCTTTTGGAATCAGAGGTAGAATTAAGTGCCATGGATCTGTCATGTTGTAAATTTTGAACTTACCTGTTGTCAGTAAATTCAAAATTTACATGTCATGTTGTAAATTTTGTATTTACTGCCACCCAGTAAATTCAAAATTTATAGCATGAGATCACTCATGCTAGCACTTACCCCGACACGAGACCTTATACGGTCTCATCCAAAGGACCGATCTCCACGTTTTACTACTTATCCAAACTGAGCATAAAACATTCTCAATGAATTTTTAAATCATTGTGTTGAACCTAACAAATTATTCCGACTCGCTGTATGGTCTGAAAAAACATGGCTGAACTTATCCATTCAGAAACTCAGACTGGGATTGCTCTTAACCAGTGTGTGTTATGGTCTTGATGCAAGGTCATTTGGTCGAGTCAAGGTCACTGACAGAGAAACTGTAATTTCGCTACCGTATTTGTACTAGTTAAACATTGCTGGTATCATGCAGAGTGTGACATGGCCTTGACTCAAGGTCACTAAGGATAAGATGTTTTGACTGTATGTATGGACTAAAAGAACATGGCGTGTCACTGTGAACTTTTCAAGTCGGTAACACACAGATTGGGTTTTATGACGAGAGTGTGACATGGCTTGTCATTTGGTCATTTGGAATGTTCAAGGTCACGTACATTCCTTTACAGTTTTTCCTAGCGAAATATTTTAAGTTGCTTCCCCTTACAAGATTGCTTACATGTATAACTTTAGAATGTTGCATGACCTTGACTCAAGGTCACTTCTTCCTTCCGCAGCTCCAACGGAAGACCTATTCGTTGCTTTGCAACGAGCTCGCTCTAGTTATTATTACTTTTACAGCATCTATTCACTGTCAAGTGTGTGGCGACTATAACAAAGACATTCCTTGTGATACCCGGAGTGTATACATTGGCCCCACTGTTTCTTGTTCAGGAAACAATAATTACTGCATGACGGACATAGTACATAGCCATAGTAACGTGAGGGTCTTCAAAAGGTGAAAAATTGTACTAGCATATTATCTGTTTTAACGATAAAGGTGATATTTATAAAAGATCAGAAAGTATTCTAGAGAGAAGGGCCTAATTGAGGGGGTGGGGGGGGGGGGGGTGTAGAATCATTGAATGCATGTTTATATCTTTACCATTAGAAATAAAAGGGAAGGTATCTAACAAGGACCAAATTTGATCCGTCCTTTTACGTACAATTGCATTTATAAACTTTGTTGTTCATTATGAACATTTTATGTTTCTGGACTTAATTCTCAGTTGTGGTGACGCGGGGGGGGGGGGGGGGGGGCTGGGGGGCTCATAATGTTCTTGGTATCGTTAAAATGGTCAATAACGGCTCTTACTTACTTGCATAAAGTACATACTGGGTATGTTGAATATTCTAATAATCCTCTATTTGTCCATTTCTTTTCTTGGAGCAGGTGTGTGAACGAGACTGTATGCAGGAACCAGTGGTTGTCTCAGACGTCAGATCAGGACCACTGTACCAACTATGGTCACGTGCCAGTCAGTGGAGATTACACGTGTCATTTCTGCTGTACCTCTAACAAATGTAATCAGGGCTTACTGCCCGATTCATCTACTCTGTATTCCAAATCCTGATCGGTTGTTTGTTACGGAATTCATTTTAGTTAACTCAATAAATTTTGTGTAAATTCATAATTTATTTTATTAGATTAATATTAACTTTAGAACAGATTGAAAAATTACAGTAGTAATACACCAGTGACACTAAAGAAGTATGTATCTCTCGAAATATACAGAAAACACACCACACACATAAGAGAGACAGAGAGAGTCTTGTATGCCCATTATTGAAGCTTACATGCGTATTTTGGCTAGTTTTGACCAAAAAAATTAATCAATATTTTCAAAAGTCTTCACAACCATTTTAACAAGAGATTTTCATTATTTTTCTTTCTCTTAAAAAAAAAACTTGAGTAAATATATGGGTATATCCTCAAGACAGTGAAGTTAAACGTTTGTTATCACTTTATGTGTTCCGTCAGTGTTGCATTACGGTTAGGGCGGATGAAGTCCTTTCCACTCATGTCCGTGAAGTTGGTACACTCCTTGATTGCAGAGTTGGGAACCTGTGAGGCAATATTTCTTAGTGTCATTCAGTAAAGAACATACCAACATCTTAAAACTCTACCACATTTCTCTATTAAAGTCCATCATGCTATACTTTAAAACTTGGGCTTTTCTCTTGACGATCTACTTTATCATTTTCACTGTAATTAATCAGCACTATAACGTCTGATTTTACTGAATTCACATCTACCTTGTATAAGTCTTACAATGTTTTCAAATATCATGAACTTCTTCATATTTGCATTATAGATTAAAAAAAAATTAAGAACAAGAGAGAATTGCTGTGTAACGAAGACTTTGAATAAAATAAAATGAAGTATTCTTTCATTTTTGAACAAGCTGTAAACGAATTCCTGACAGGACGTATTTGAATTCTCTGCACAATTGATATGGATTCCTGACACAATGCAAATGGATTCCTGACCTATACCGACCTTGGTAAGTGGGGTGTATCTTGGGTGATGATGTTCAATGACTGGGTCATTGCTGGCTTTATTGTAAGTACAGATGTACACCCATCTGCGCATGTCACTGTTGTTATCAGAACTATGATGTAGCACATTGCAATGGAAAAACAGGGCATCACCTTCAGAAAGAATATTTAAAACTTAACAATTTGTTTTCTAAATCTATAAAGTATTATTTGACACTTATTTTGCAAAAATTCAATTAAGTGAAATGGCCCGTAATTCTACTTGTGTGATTTAGCAGACCTGTTTTTGAATACTTTTGACATTGTTTGAAGAAGAATTTATTCAAAACAACCTGAAAACATAGAAGATATAGCTTGCTATGACTTTCGAGATTTAATATCGACGACGTTTTATTATTAATAGTATTCAGTTTGATTCCTACATGTACGTTAATTCGATATATACCACTGAACTCGAAATAAAAGACATCACAGAGTCTGACACATCCGTTTCATATTTGGATGTTTTATTAGATCTAGAGAAAGATATTGATGGAAAACTAAGAACTAATCTTTATGATAAACGTGATGACTTTTTTATCGTCAACTTCAATATGCTATTATCACCTATATAAAGTGTTTATGTCTACAATTTGTTTTGATATGCAAGAACATACATTTTTTTTAAGGTAGCAGGCTACTGTCAGATAAGACAATGATGCAAGGATATCAACAATCTTGCTTTAAGTCAACACTTCTCATATTCTATGGTCGATACATTGACTTGTTAGCATATACAATCTATCATTATATTGAATATTGACTGACCTTTTGCATGCAAAATTCTAAGGCCATAATTTCTACGGATTCCATGAAAAGAAGCACAAAGCGGGTATGACAAGAGATGCCTGGATGGATTAGAACATTATTTACTTTGTTATGGATTAAGTATTATTTTACTTGTTATGGATATAGAGTATTGTTTTACTTGTTATGGAATAGAAAATTATTTTACTTGTTATAGATTAGAACATTATTTGACTTCGTTATAGATTACAGCATTATTTTAAGACCTGAAACCATGTTTCATGTTTTACTTCTTATGGATAAGAGCATTATTTTACTTGTTATGGATTAGAACATTTTTTTTGTTATGGATTAGAGCTTTGTTTTACTGGTAATGGATTAGAGCATTATTGGACCTGTTATGGATTAGAGCATTTTTGACTTGTTATGGATTAAGGCATTATTTTACTCTGCTATGGATTAGAGCAATATTTTACTCGTTATAGATTAGAGCATTATTTTACTTCACTATGTATTAAAGCATTTTTTTTTACTTTGTTATGGATTAGAGCATTATTTGACTTGTTATGGATTAGAGCATTATTTTACTTGTTATAGATTAGAACATTATTTTTTTTTGTAATGGATTAGAGCTTTGTTTTACTGGTAATGGATTAGAGCATTATTGGACCTGTTATGGATTGGAGCATTTTTTGACCTGTTATGGATTAGAGCATTATTTTACTCTCCTATGGATTTGAGCAATATTTTACTCGTTATAGATTAGAGCATTATTTTACTTCACTATGTTTTAGAGCATTTTTTTTACTTTGTCATGGATTAGAGCATTGTTTGACCTGTTATGGATTAGAGCATTATCTTACTTCGCTATTGATTAGAGCATTATTTGACTTGTTATGGATTAGAGTATTATTTTAAGACCTGGATCCATTTCAACAAACATGTGAGGACAAGTCTTCTTGAGTTCTTCCACCCGTGATAGGTCCGCCTCGGCCTGCTTCAGAACAGGATGATGGTCAATCCTGCCACATTTATGAGAACCCTCCAGTATCTTAAAAACATTATGTTTGTTTCAGTCACTTGTTTCATATTTCTACAGTGTATTATTTACTGTACTTTGTTTCGAAATCCATATCAATAAATGCTTGTGATAAATTAAAGGAAGTTTTTTTTGCGGGGGAGGGGGATTTGAGTAACCTGTAAGCAGCCATTTTCTTTCCTGCAAGGATCCAATGGAATAAAAACCGTCATCATATCAGGGAACAGGCAACCGTTGTTGTACCAATATCTAAAGCAATATAAGAATACATTCGTATGCTGTAAAATAGATCTCTGGGTAATGAGTAGCACTTATAAACGTGGATGCATATTTAGAATAAACAAGTGCTTCAGCAAATCCAATCCTCAAAAGAAAAAAAGAAACAAATATTCCTGTCACCATCTTCTCCTTTTTTAATTTCCCATATTCTTACTGTAAACTACGGTACTAAACATCCTATACTTATCTGTATTCTTGATTTTATCAGTGAACTTGTTTTAAAATACGATATCTATTCTTATTCTTTATCTACATTGTACATTCCCTAGTTACCCTTAAATCGTGGCATGATTTTTTGCATAATTTAACAGCAAACTTTGAAACTAACGGACCCTTTATTTTTGGTATAAGATTTGATATCTTCTCACCATCTTGGTATCTAATTTGGTTATTAAAATTTAGTACTTTCGTGTACTCTTAGTATAGAAGACAATCTTAAAGCAAGCATTGCAAACTTTAAAAATTAGATGCTGACCTGTAATATAATTACTTACCTGTAATCTTAGAATAGCAATACTTCAATAACTGAATGAATGTTTGATATTTACCCATAATCTTGGTGCCACAGGTGCTGGGCTCCCTTCTGTGCCCCTTTCAGTATCATCTTCCCATGATAATGATACACCTCTCCTCCTAAAAGCTAAAATAAAGTACTTCATACAAAATATTCTTCTTGTTTTATTTTAGTACTTCTTTAGATACGTATATTTTTGTGTCGTCTACTTGGCATGGCGGACACATAGGAATCATTTTGTCCTGTGTCTCTCCGTTTGTCTGGTTGTCTGTCCAGAAAAGTCACATATTAAATGAAAGCCTCTTACTCAATTTCAAATTTCATCTCCTTTAAATGATACATGTATATTTTAGTTTAGAGATAATCATGACGTAGAGTTGTAATGGTACATTCAAGTTCGTCCTTTTGACAAATATGTGCAGTATTTAACATTATTTAACAACATTTAACAATGTCTCGGGATCTTTCTGAATGCACGGATCCTGGCATGATTATTAGCCTTATAATTGGGCAATTTACATATATAAGTAAAACATATCAGTCAATAGATTGATGTAAACTAACTGCTAGAGATTTCATTTTGTTCATGGTTTAAAGATAAATAAATTAACAGCAAAGTTTTCAAAATTTACGAATCCGTCGGGATCGCTTCGTCAATTGAATATTTCTTCAATAAAGAATGTTCGTATATCGAGGCATAAAACGGATTATATAAACATATTTTCCTGGATTACAGGGATAAATGTAATTATGCATAAATTACTAAAGCAATTTGTAAGTTATTAGCAAGACAAATAAATATTTCAAATAAAATTAAAGTTCATAAACTGAACAGAAAACTACAGATTGTGCATAGTATCAAGTGAATGAGTATATTTTATGATCAATGTACATTGTATTTCTATAATTAGTTTTCAGCTTTCAGGATTTTTTTTCCTGATGGGTTTCATATAGATAATAAAAGATTTTTTAAATTGAATCCTATAAGAATAATTTATCTTTTCCGATACTACAATGAAGTATCCTTAGGCGGCACGTATTCTTTGAACACAGTAATTGGTTTTACACTAAAAATGTAGCAACATATAAAGAATGAGTTAAACAGTGTTCATTATTTTTAAAGAATCTCTAATGAGAGAAATTAAAGATTAACTAGAAACACCTTTGTAAAATCATTAACTAAACACATTACTTAATTAATACAAGTACAAGTTCATTTTAAAGATATGCATTTATATAGTGTACCTGTTCGCATGTTCCTGCAACTTTTTCGCTGCGAGCTACCATTCCTGTGACGTCAGAACCAGGGTGCGACCAAATAATTCGTTGCGTCTTCTTTGCCTTATTTACTTCTTCAACCTATGTAATGTTTAGTTAAATACTTGTATTTTTATATAATTATTTTTTTTTTTAATAATTGATTTGATTTAGTAATAGAAAAATATGTTGTTTTTGGTTTTTTAAGTAAATTACCTCATAGTTTTCTTTCATCATTGCGTCACTGCCCTCCAGTACTTTCAGTACTCTTTTAACCTCTTCTTTGTCAAGTAAACCCCTAAGATTAGATGTTATTTTCTTTTTTAAATTTTCAAGTATCGAATTAATCACTATATCCCAGAAAAAGTGCACTTTGTAGATCTATATTTAAATTTTGCTGCTGTCATATGTTTCAATTATTTAAATTGTTTGAATATTAACAATAAACTCTTGTTATGCTATAAGGATTACTTCCATTTCTAAGGACAGTATCAATCGACATTACCTTTCGTTTCTTTTTTTTTCTTTATTTTTTTTGAAGAGTATACTACATATAGATAGTCGCCCGCGTGGCGCAGTGGTTAGAGAGTCTGCTCTATGGTTAGAGCGTCTGCTCTAGAGTCGTGGAGTATGGAGTTTATCCTTACGTCGGGGGTTCGAATCCCACTGCGGGACGTGGAGACCGGTCCTTCGGATGAGACCGTATAAACCGAGGTCCCGTGTCGCAGTAGGTGCTGGCATGAAAAAGATCCCTCACTGCTCAATGGCCTTGAGTGCCAAGTATAGGTCAAAATTTGTAGCCATCCACCGGCAAGTGGTGGCGTCTCCATATGAGTAAAAACTCGAGAGAGGGACGTTAAACAACAAACAAATAAAACATGTAGATACGTTACTAGAGCATCACACACTGATTTTCTGTTAAGCTGGTGCCTGGACCATCTGGTCATCTTTCCACTGGGGTCACTACTCATAGTTAGACCGGTAAACTGAGGTATACACAGCTAGGGTGTAATTTATCACATTAAAATGATTACATATACATGTATATGTTTACATTTGCTGTGTTTTTCTACTAAGCCAACTGTGAAATTGATTTGAAAGCCATTTTTGTGTATACTCACGCGTAGAAATATACAAGGAGAAACTCGGGCTAAAGTGACGTCACAATGAGGCTACAGAGACGTTAATAAAAATATGACGATATAGTGCAGCGAGAAATTCAAACATTGAGTATTTTTGGTGCATTTAAGCATGTAAAATGTAAATATAAGGAATGCTAGCGCGCTTCATGAAATATGCCTATGTGACAAGTCTGTGTGATTTACACACCAAATAACTCACATAGAACTTTTAAAAAAACATTCCTTACATGTAAATACATACAGAGCATACATATTACAAAAATCGGATCTTTATCAATATGCATCAAGGTTCTACGGTATATCAATATATTCTTTATCATGAGTGTGGGTATGATCTGGCATGTATCTGAATAAATTATCTAATCTCACCGGATAAGGATATATCCATATTCTTCAAAGTCCCTTTTCGCCTGCTCGGAAAGCTTAAAATTGTCGGTGTATTCGTACTCTGTAAAAACATATCTTAATGAAATACAAATGAAGAAACAAATGACATATATTACAAAATATTGCCAAAATGGTCCATTTCATAACGTCGAATATTAACTTTTAAAATAAGTTTTCCAAATAAATCGAGTTTCATCACTTCAAATTACACATGAATTTTGACACATTTTATCAAGGATAAATTTTTGGAGAAAAAAAAATCCTACCTGAATGTCGATCCATAACTTTTCGTCGCTGAGGTCCTACAATAAAAATTATATGCAGAGATTCTTTAAATACGTATAATTACGAATATATGATATGTAACTTTATCATATACATTATACAAATTGTTCATAGATCAAGTGGATACTGAAGATAAAATGTCAGTGGCACTCAGGGCCTTTGTTTACATTACTTCGTCAGTTAGGGAAGAAAAACACTTTCCTGCTGATGTACACCCTCCGATCACTGCTTCTTTATGGACCCTTTTTTTTCAAAATAAAAGTTACATTGAAGAAGATAATCAGAAATGCAACTAAAATTGCGACAATTTTAATTGAGATTAAGGTGAAAAGTTGAAATCAAGACTTACCTAGTTAACGCTCTTGTTTATTTACTTATGAGGCTTTTTAAAACCTAATAATACGTATCACATGACGAACGATTATCTCTTAGTTGTAAAAAAAAAAAAAAAAAAAAAAAAAAAAAAAAAAAAAAAAACAGGAATCAAAGTACTCGAAGTACTTAAAAAGATGTAGAACACAGACCCGTGCATAATAAAAAGTGGAGAGACACTTTTTTCGGAGTATAGCTATAACTGTAGTAAATATTCCTCGAGATGCTGGTTGCCCCCCCCCCCTCCCCCATATACACACACTTTTTGATGTTGTAAGGTTGAGCACAGACAAATTCCCGGATTTGGACAGCAAATAGGTTTTTCATTTTTTTTTTTTATTATCATTCTTTTTTTGCTTGTCAGATTTTTTGAAGTTGCCCCCCTCCCCCTTTGGAACGTTGCTACGGGCCTGGAATTATGCACTTATTGTAAAAAAAATAATTTTAATTGTGTGGTAATTTCTCTCTGTACATAAATATACCCATGAAATGTAAAGATAACGAATAACAGTAATCATTCTAAAAAGTCTAATTATATTAGTCTAATTATACATTACATTACATTACATTTCGCGGGGATCAAACAGCAAGCACGGTCCTCTGAGTTGCGATCAGGTGCCATGGAGGAATCGGCATCCACCGCTGAAAGCCATACCTGCTGTGAGCCCTTTTGTCTTGATCGGGCTTATGGAATATTTATCGTTATTATCGTGCATGTCAAGGTCAATTCATTCATTTTTTGGGGTGGTTTCTTCAACTTTTCTGCGCACGCGTACAGTAAGAGAAAGAAGTGAAGCAATATTTTCGTTTTGCGGCAGACGAAAATGATTTTTTCTCCATAAATGAAAAAGGCGAAGATAACGAACAGTGACCGACCTCAAAAAAGGTAAAACAAAATTTGCACGGTTTATGCAACGATTCTATTGTCAACCGTTTTTGCGTCACTGTCTTTTGAAATAAAGTTTGAGGTTAAAACATTTTTTTCCGTGACTATTTTCCTATGAAGAAAGAATAAATCTTTACTCAAATCTGCCATGCATGTTTGCCCTGGTCTTCATGGAAGATAAAAAGAAAAAAAAAAAACCCATCAATATCAGAATAAATTCATATAAATAAATTTTCAAACCGCTTAAGTCAAAATACTCTGATAATTTCAAAAATAAACATAATCTTCAATTCTATAGCCTGTTTGTATAACAAATAAGCCGACTTAAATCTGCAAAACGATATCTATTTAAAATAAAGACAACTATTGTGTAAATAAAAATTCTCAATACCAATATTATCTATTTTAGTAAGTATTAATGTTAACAGGTAATGATAAGTATTTTTGTTAAATACCCACGAAGACCGAATCTTGTCTCCTGCATTTAATCCCCGGGTAAGGTAAAGACACCTGTTCGTAACTTTCCTCTTTCATTGCTCAAATTTCACTCGTTGCTGTTCCAGTACCATGCCACTTAAAGGATGTTGCAAATTAGAAGTGAATTTGCCTTGTTTGGACAGCGTGGACTTGGAGAGCGGAAGTTCAGACGTCATAGATATTTTGGATATCACTTTTATTATTTTGAAAAGTCTTGCTAATGCATGTCATAAGTTTGAAAAGAAAACTTGCTTCCTGGCTAGGATTTGGATAGGATACATTATTGACGCCGTAGAACTCAGCATCATGAGTATCAACACAAATGGCCTTCACCTTGATCACTGGTTCGGACAGGTGCTCTTTGGAGTGTACGTCATCGCTGTGCTGATATTTGCCAGCGTTGTGTCGTTGATGGAATTCTGCTGTAACGTCAGTGTTAATCGCTACTGGATGAGAATTTTTATTGTATTCAAATTAACGTCCTTCATTAATGCCCTGTTCATCTTTGTACACCCACTTGTGATTTCTGACACAGAAGACATAGAAGGGTATGAAATATTTCTGATGATAATAACCGTATTGGATATGATTTTTATATAACTTGTATCAATTATATGTATCTTAGTGTATGGAAAATGCTTACGAAAAGGAAAAAGTGTTCAACCCAAACCGACTTCCAACAAGACCAGTCGTTCCAAACTTGACATAAAAAAGAAAAGAAAGTCGAAGCAGACAGTATGAATTCAAAATTGCCATCGTTTTCAGAAAAAAAAAACTTATATCTTTTTAGTACCTTTTTGTTTCAAGAATATAGATTTAAGTTTTCTTTGTCCTATATAAGCTGTTTTCCATTATAAAATTGTATTTTAATTGCATTGTATTTGAAACAGTACTGGTAACTAGAGAATATACTTTAAAGACAACGTAGAAACAATACAGTTTCACAGCATAATTTAACACGGAGTTTTTTATGCCCCGAGATCACAAATCGGGAATATATTGTTTTTCTCCTTCTGACCATCTGTCATTCTTTGTCTCTGTCATAAACTTTAACCTTTCTAATGACCTTTGAACCGCAGAACTTGGAAACTTTTTTGTAGAGTTTTAGACATATATGAACGCTTTAATATTTCTATCAAAATTTCAACTCGTCCATTTTTCTGAAGACGAAATTAAAAAAAAAGAAAATTGAAATATGTATGGGTAAGGATTGGTGTTATATGAATAGAATAATATTGTTTGGAGACTGCATGTGTTGTTAAAGGAGGATTTTTATTTTAAGTTAAAATGATTAAAAAAATGATGGACCTTAATGTAAATTCTAGTCTCTTAAAATCAATTCTAAACCCATTTAGGGGATTATCACAATCATTTAATGTCACAAATAATGAACTGGACCTTACCCGATCAGTGAGTATACCCGACTTTCTTCAGGTTGAGATTAACAAAGAAAAAGAAAATGATGGCCAGCAGAATGAATTTGTTTTATCTGTGCTTCATAAAATGCTTTCATTTCATGGGAATAATAAGAGAAATGATGCATGTACAAATTTTTGTGCGTCTTAGTAACTGTAACGATTTACAGAAGCACAAATAGGATTCTAATTCAAGGAGCTGGTGCTTTTTAATGGTACAGGAATGACTTAAGTTCTGAATGAAATACTATATATAATAGTCAACCTTATTAATGGCCACAGCGACTCTGATCAGCCGAACTGTACCTCGACCCCAAGGCCCTCTAAGAGAACGAACGAATCAAATATTGAGATGGGATGCGACCAATGTAAAAAGCGCGGAAATTTAAAACATCTTTCCGAGACTGTGAAAATGCTTAACACCAAAGAAGTTGAAATCCTGAAGAAGCAGCTAATAGAAGCAGAACAAGCAAGCCATGTTCTAATGCTTCTACATAAATTTCTGGGGGGAAAATGAAACAGAAGGAAATTCGACCGAGGGACTTCCAGTAATAAGTGGAATTTCAAGGCACATCCAATGTACTTTTATTATTGAGAAAAGAACCTCCAGTACTTCAACAGATGCAGATATCAGTCGCAGTTCCGTGTGAAAAAAAAACCCCAGCCCACAAAAAACAAAAAAACAACATTTCAATGATTAAGAAAATGCCAGATTTATACATCTCCAGAGCTAGTCAGAATATATCAATCCCCTACACATAATGCAACTTTACAAGAAATCCTCAGTATCAAGGGAATATAATTAATTCTTCAAAGAATAAAAACCCGTAGCCTAGATCCAAGTGTGAAAGAAGGTACAAATCGAGGTGCCCGTATTGCACATATTCGTTCAAAACAACAGAGGTTTGATGTGTCCTCCATCCATATGTTATTATCTAGGCAGGGGGGGGTAATGATGTCGCTTATTTCCGCAACATTGATGAAATTGAGAATGACTTTGCAGAAATAGTTGCTGATTTGAAGAGAAGAAATCAAATCATTGGGGTTTTTTTCTCGATTTGATTCCAAGACGGGATACAAATGTAACAGAAGTGAATAAGTGCATTAGATATGTTTGTGAGGAGTAAACAGTTAATTGAATCCAGCAAGTCATTCAAACACTAGAGTTCACCTTTCTTGTGGAGAGATGGCATCCACTTGTCTAACCGTGGTACCGCTTCACTTCTCAGGCTCTACAGTACTCATATACAAATTCTTAAGCATCAAAATTCCTTTTCTATGCAGCCATGCTATTAATGTGGAGAGCAAGCTAGGCCATTCTTCATGTAATTTGTTGGTAAAGTGTTGAGCATGGTCACAGAAATTCTGTACAAAATAGGATCTCGGCAATGAAAGCTGTGTGACCGGTCAGCAAGGGATGGTCACTCCTACATGGCACCTGATCCCACCTCTAACGTTTTTAGAGGTCCGTGTTTGCTCTGCTCCAGATTTGTATTGTTTCATTAGACTTTTGAGATTGATTACTGCTCGTTATCTTCATATTTAATACAGTAATTATGAATAACATTGAACGAGTAGTTATATGTTAATAGCACAGACACCGGAAGTGTGGATACAATCCCTACACCTACCCACACTCAATTAATAAAAAATAATATAGCAAGGGCCCAGAATTTCTCAAAATTATGAGATTTCTAATCACATCCATATTTTGTTCTATACAAACAGATTCATTTAAAATTTGTACTTTTTCACAGGTTCAGAGATTCGCCATGTACTGTGTGATAAAACGTTCTATCTGCATGCTTGCATAAAACGACATATTGATGTGATTTTTGAGATTTTATAAGCTCTTACTACTTTTTTTTAATTAAGTAAGGTGTGTGTGTGTGTGTGTGGGGGGGGGGGGGGTTAGTCGATCCATGTTTCAAATGCCTGTCGTTAATTGTGGTTGTAAATGGCTATATTTTGTGCATCATGGAATTCATAATATTACGGGAAGGACAATTCATAAAAAGTTGAGATTGATGCAAAGCGTCAAATCGGCCAAAAATATTTAATATTTTAAGTTAAAAAATATATCAAATAAAGAGCCCAAGGAAAGCGCAAGATTTTTAAAGCGGAAAATGTATACATATTTTTATTACAAAAATTTATACATGTACAAAGCTATAAACAAAATTACACAAATTGAAAGATGCACAGAATTGTTTTGCCTCTGAATAGAATGACGATCTGTCATTGGATAATAGGCCCGCCGCCTATATTTCTATAGACGGCGAATAAAAAAATATAGATTGAAACATGGCGGCTAAAACAATGTTATATCACCCATATTTACAGAAAAAATATTATTCTAATATCGAAAAAGTTTATTTACTGTAAAAAAAAAAAAAGGTTTAAAAAGAAATATAAGGGAAACTGCCAAAACACATATGCAGTAGGCTTATCCATTTTTACAGTTCTACTTATTTGTTATATATATATATATATATATATATATATATATATATATATATATATATATATATATATATATATATATATATATATATATATATATATATATATTGTTGACTTTATTCCATACTTCCCTGTGGAGAATCAGGCCATGGATGAACCCTCTCCATTCTGATCTATCTTTGGCTTTGACGATAGCATGACTCCATGGCCACCATATAAATACAAGTTACTTAGCATTTCCTTTCCCTTTCTACGGTTCTGTGTCCTTTGGTCTTCCTCTTCTCCTGCTCTGGTGTCCAATGATATTCTGGTATGACTATCTGTTCTCATTCTCTGCACATGCCCTATCCATTCCTATCTCCTGGTTCTTATAATTTTTCTGATGTTATCCACGTTTGCTAGTTCTCTTACTCTTTTATTGGTGATTTTCAATGTCCTCATTGTCTTTCTCAAACATTTATGGAGTAAGGAGTTAAGGAGTTTTTCATTTCCTTTGTTTATCTTCCATGTTTCAGCGCCATACAACAAAACAGATATTACGTTTGACTTGAAGATCTTCAATTTGGTTATTCTAGAAAGTTGACTGTTTGACCATATCTTGTAGAGTCTGTTACCGACTACTCTGGCATGACTCCAGACTTCTCTGTATCTCCCTCTCCGTCCATCCTTCTTTACTCATAGTTGTTTCAAGATAGACAAAGGTGTCACTGTCTTCGATCAGACCTCTTTTGATTTATATCAATATTTGTTGAAATCACTTCATATTATTTCCTTTTGATTAGAAATGGCCAAACTTGGGGCACTTGTGTTTATTCAACATATGTGTGTGTTTTGTATTCATGTCTTTTGTAAAACATGAAAGCTAAATATTCTATACTTTCTGTAACATAACCTTGTCTTTCTGTCTTAAATGAACTTATATTATATACTCACATGCAACATGAAACAAGAATATCAACAATATCCTTTAGAGTCATTTTCGCAAATTCTATGATCGATACAGTGACCTTGTCAGCAAAAACAATCCATCATTAAGCCGAATGTTGACTGAAGTTTCTCTTACAAATTGTAAGTTCATAATTTTCACACTGAATTGCCTACAGATTTTTCCGTTTGTCCGATCATGACAATTAATAAGAAGCATACGGCGGATGTGTCCGATCGAAAGGGGATGCTTACTCCTCCATGGCACCTGATATGATGTTTTTAGAGTTCCGTGTTTGCTCTTCTCCAAATATGTATTGTTTCAATGGATTTTTGAGCTTTATTACTGATCTTTATCTTCATATTTCATGCATACATTAGTGATTAGAGGATAACTATCTGATTCGAATGTTATGGTTCTTGTTATACTGGACTAAAGCATGCAGTCAATTTATGTTTGTTATTATTATTTTCTATTACAACTCATTTGATTGCCATAACTCATAAAATAAACCGTTATAAATAAACATTAAACGGAAATAATTTTTGACAAACACGAGAGATATATTTGAATCAAATCATAGCAGGTCAATTGGTTATAAAATAGATGATAATGGTTGAAATAACAGCTGTGACATTTGTAAAGACATGTCCTAATAATTCATCCAATTTTCTGAGAACATGTGGCACATTCAGATTACATGGACGCACTGAAACAAAGCCCGTGAACAATAGCCTATAGAGTATGGAAGTCAAAAGTCTACTGGTATTCAAGTTACTGGTGTTTTTTGTAGCATACACAAATGCAGGTAAGATTTTGTCGATTTTCATGGATTAATCAATATGTAAGTTGGGTGAATATCATTTGTAAACAAAAAAATTGATTGGTTGATTTTATCAATTTCTTGAAATTTTTGAAAAGAAATTTAAAATGCATATGTATATATATATATATTAGGGATGTCAAATCGGTCAATATTTGATAACCGGTTACTCGGACGAGTTTCCGATCGAGTACCCGGGTACTCGGAAAAAGCGGTATAAATGAAAAGTTTGTTGATTTAATTGAGACCTGTTTACCCCATCGATGTTTTCTTTCGTTTATAATGCATGTACATAAACATCGAGCCCAACGAAAACGATTTTTTGGTACTTAATTTATGTATCAAACAAACACAAAAGACATGATCAATTATTACACCATCAATTACAAATGATTTACAGTTCTTTTTTAGGAAGACAATTTGATCAACGGAAGAGAATCATTACTTTGTAATGATTAGACTTGCGAAAGAGAATCATGTCTTTGTAGCGAAAGAGAATAATGTCTTATTTTCTTTGGGAATGGACGTTGTCATGATCGTGAGTCGTACATGTACTGTATATTATTTACATTTCCAAGTTTTCTCTTGATAACTCTGAAAGTTAATTATGTTGATTTCTCAACTTCACCCGTTATGCATTAATTATCCCCACATTTCCAACTGCAGTTGATGCTCTAGAATACCCAACAAACTAGACAGCGATTCCTTAAATAATGGTTGTTTCACCCCGTATACGCTGATATTTCTATGTATGTACGATTTCGCTACCGTATGCTAATTAATTAATCTAAGGATAATTAATAGATCATAATTAAAAGATGTTCATTGAAAACAAATAATTAAAGCCATTTAAAGATTAGGGTCACAAGAGTTGAGACCACCTGTGTACGATGTCCAGTGATTGGTCACGGTTATTACTGTATACACAATCAAGTACATAGCCAAAGGCGATAACGGGCATTAACTGGAATTACTATAGACATGGACAATAAATATTTAAATCACATTTTTTGATACTTTTTTTAATAAAAATATGCACTTTGAAATATGAAAAAATATACATCCGAGTAACCGAGTACCGATTTTAGTATTCGATACTCGAACGTTCGATCGAGTACCCGGTTAACCGGGTACTCGTTGACATCCCTAATATATATATATATATATATATATATATATATATATATATATATATACAGTGGACCTTCAGATATCCGGACGCCAGATATCCGGACGCTTCAGTTTCCGGACGATTTTTAATGGGAACGAAATTTTTTAACGTTATTTTGTCTCGTTTAACCGGAATTCCGCGTTCCGTATCCGGACGGTCTTTTTTCACCACAAAATGAATTATTACGTTATATTTTGGTTCATTTATCCGGACGATAATTTTTTTCACTGGTCCGTCAAGTCTGCTCAAACTTCTTGATCTGGGTGTTAATTGTTGTAAAAACACTGGTCTGGCTGTTTGTTTTTAAAGATGATCACCTGCGACCTGTTATCAATGGCTTGCGGCAAGGTTAATTGTAGGTCGATAGCTACGCTCAAGACTCTCGCTTCTCTAACATAGTTTTGATACGTATTAATCAAGGAAAATAATTTTATAAGTCTATGATAATTTTTTCGTAGTTGGCAAATATATTTCTTTTACTGTTCGAATACAGTCGTAACATGGTTTAATGTATTTATAGACATGACATCGGAGTTTTTTTTTTATGCACAGTATTTTGTGCGCGAAACGCATTCTATGATTTGATGACATTTATAAAATCACTTTCAAAATTACACAATCGTTAATACGATCTCGCTTTGGATGATTACGATTAGCGTTCGTATACATATGCAGATTATGTCACATTTATTTAGCATTGATGGGCGTTCATATTAAATAAGACTCTACCGACAGTACCGTACCGACATGGCTACTAGAAGTTGATTCATTAGACACAGGGAAGTAGAAATAATTAACGTGACCATATAAACACGTTTTTTTTGCCCAATGACACGTGTACTTTTTTATTTATTTAAACAAGTATTGAGTAATACTAACTTATATTAAAGTACTTAAACAATAAAACATATTGATAGAAAGCAACATTCTTTACTACTGAAATGGTATATATATAAATTATTATATTTACTTTTTGATGAACATGCTTCCTAGAGTGCCAAAGAATCTTCATTTGTATTGAAATTACACATTCTCTCAATGAGTAATTTATGTAGTAATATCCCACATTCACCTGCATGTGGTGTTTACATCTCCCAACTTATTCAATATTCACGAGCATGCTCCGAGTACGATCATTTGTTAAACCAAGGCAGGCTACTGACAGATAATTTGATGATACAGGGATTTCGAAAACCTCTTTGAAAGTCAGCATTTCATAAATTCTATGGTTGTTATAATGACCTTGTTAGCAAATATAACCTGTCTTTGGGTCGTATGTTGTCTGACGTGTTTCATACCAATTGTTAGACTTTTGGTTTTTTTTTTATTATTATTGAATGACTACGGAATGTTCTGTACACCTGATCTATACACAGGGCTCAAGGCGGGTGTGACCGCTAAACAGGGGGTGCTTACTCCTCCTAGGCACCTGATTCCTTTACAGTAGAATCTTAGTTATGTCAACCTTGAGTTCAATGAAAAAAATGATTGAAAAAAAAGAAAATTAAAATGCCTCACATTTACAAAATCAGAGAATTGGTACTTATTTGGTGGAATTTTACGTTTTGAATTTAAAAAGCAGTATTTTTTATTGTGCATGAGAAAAATGTTAAGTTTTGATAGAAGCGTTTATTTTGATAGAATTTTGATAGAATGGTTTCAAAAAGATGTTATCTCATTTTTTTTTTGGTCATATCAAAAGACGTAAGAAAAAATATCAGATAATTAATGACGAGTTTGTAGTACATTTTACTAATTCTGTAATCTGTTATGCTGTATGTATACTGCATGTATATATGTACAAGATAGGAATGGACTTTCTTTTTTGATAAAAGTAATGATTTATATGTCATGTTTTTACTAAGACTAGTCACGTGGAAAGAATAAACTTGTCACCTGACAAATCAAATAACAATGCAAAATCTTGAAATTTTTGATCTTCAAGACTATAGATCTTCTAACGTTAACTTGCTTGACAGAGATTGAAGATTTTTGTAAAAATCTCAAGTAACTTTTATCTATGGTATAATGTTGATAGAGATACTCATTCGAGGGAGTGAACGTGTTTCCTTGGGATCAGAAGCCCGTCTACAGTGTATTGCAAGAGATTACGATGTCCAGACGAGAAAGATGATTTGGTTCCACAACGGACGTCTTGTTACGAAGTCCAGCAGAAACACCATTACGGAGCTTTTCAATGACAACGAAGATGACTACGGGTTGAGTGAACTCCGAATACCGGAAGTACGACTGAGTGATGCTGGGAGATACACGTGTAAAGCAAACAAGAATCATGAAGCCAGCTTTGATCTAACTGTGCATTAATGATTCTGTAGAAGTAAAAATTATTCGAATAAAATGAAAAAAGCGCCAAATTTTACATTGATATTTTGACATCTCAAAGAATTTACTGTCGCTGAGTGTAGTCTCTATAATATTAAATTAAAAATAATGTACCGTGTGTTCAGGAACATAACATTTCAAAGAATAACAGATTTACGTTACTTTTTGTGTATTTTTTTAATCGAGAAGAAGCTTGAAACTATTTACAGAACTATTTTTTTGGATACATTGTCCCATATTTGAGCTACACTTATATTATCTCAATATCACAACAGCTTTTCACACGAATTTTCATATAGGCTAATTAAAAGTCAAATTTTGATGTTGCCGCAAAACAAATACTTTCTCATCCGTATAATGAAATATTTGCATTTGCAAATATTGTTCTTAGATGAACCTATTCAAGAGAAATATGTTACATTCTGTATAAATTTATTAGGGAATCAGAGGTCATAGCGTGACCAAATCACACGGCGCGATGATACCTTGCATACGGAACTCCGAATTTGAGAGCATATAACGGAGAAAAATAACAGAAACATATCAATTTTTTTTTCAATCAACAGATGCCTATTTAATATTCCTTTGGAGATAAATGATTTAAATAAAAGCATTAAGTCACCAAAAATCTCGCTTAAATTTTTTAACCCGAATTTCCTATGTTAACTAAAACAAACGTTTCTGGCTGAAATTCCTCCGCTTCGACTTCATACTATGAAGGAATCTAAAAAAGTAAGATCATCCTCAGTATCAATCACTATAAAATGTATTTAGGTTTCCAGAATTTGTTATTGCAACATCAGTGTAAACAATCAAATGATTGAGCTAGGCAAACTTTTGTGACATAATTTAACGTCTAGGTAATTGCGTACATGTGCACTTCAACGGTGGACTGTACGTGTACTATTTCTCTTCGAATTTTTCATCTCAAAAGTAAACATTAGTAATAGTTAACAAAGTGAAAAAGTTCACTGGGAAATAAACTTAGTTGGCCTTCGGGTTTCACAGGATTTGATCACGTGACCAGCCAAGTTCTTTTCACTTTGTTTTTATTTAAGAAATAAACAACAATATTAAAAAAGTTCTCTGGGAAATGAACTTGGTTGGTCACGTGATTAAATCCTGTGAAGCTATGTTGTGACGCGCAATGACCTAGAAGCTGTTTGGTCTTGAGAGTTCGCCTCGCTCCAACATTTGAATACTTACATTGATGTTCAGCAGTCCAGTTCAGGAAATTTCTGTTCATTATGAAAAAAATAATGATCGCTACTGAGAATAATCTTACGTATATTGTATGAGTTCTTTATATATGAAGTCAAAAGCGGCGGTATCGTCGGTCTTCAGTTTACATACCTTCAAAGGAATTTCGGGTTAAAAAGGTAAGCGTGATTTTAGGCTAATTAAAAGCATTCTTCACACCGAAGAGAGATCTAATGATCATTTGTTGAACGAAAAAAATATATGTTTCAATAACTTTATCTTTTTCATCGCTTTAACGGCTTAGAAGTTCCGAAACCAGTGTCACCGTAACCAGCTGGTAACAGAAATTTGTAGACAAGATATCATCTCGCTGTGTGATTCGGTCACGCCATGACCTCTGACCCCCTAATACATTCACACAGAATTGAACATAATTTCTCTTCAATAGGTTCATTTAACGTAGAACCTACGTCGTATGACGTCATATCAAGTAAATGAGTTTAGATCGTCTTTTTGGTGCTAGATTCATTATGATGTCATAATTAATCTAATGTTACCTTTTCCCGTACTTTCTCCAAGACTATATCTTGTAATGAAGTTACACATCTGTGATAATGTGAATGACATGCAACTATTTTGAAGGAAATAAAAAATCCTAAGAAATCTAAATAGTACATGAAATGTGTCTGAGTCAAAGATCTTCTAAAAAATTGTGGGTAAATTTTGTATTGTCTATCATGAAATGACATGCATTTCCTTTCATAAATATTTGTTAAGTATTCATAATAGTTGATGTATAATAATAATTATGTTTCCCTAAAATATTACTAGTATCTTTTTAAATAAAAAAAATTACATATTTTTAATATATATTCACATTGTAAATCTGAACGTAACCCCAAAACAGTCATTTAATAATTAAATCCTGTGTAAGTGCAAAAAGGTCAACAAAAGAAGTATTAATAGAGTGTCTCTCATTCGATTGTCGGGAAAAGTATATATTTTAATCACTTTTTGTAATTATTTGGGTATATTCTTCTTCATATTAAAGATTGAAAACATTCTGACAAAGACTTTTGAAAAATATTTACAAATTTATGTGGTAAATTGACTCAAAAAATATTGAGCACATTTTCCTATATTCGTTGAAATGTGGACTTAATCTTTTATGACAATTGAATAATAAAAAAAAGAATTTATTCTTGAATAATATTGCTTAATACTGTTCAGTTAATAAAGTCTATAAACAACGATGTATAAATTTATTTTTGTGATTTTCTATATTCTCTTTATGATCAGTGCCCCTAAAAATGGCTGAAAATATGTAGTCGCAGTGTAAAATTATCATTCCAAGTTGCACAGTCTGCACTACATTTAGTAACAAGGAAACATACCACATATTTTTAACTGATTGATAAACGAGTGCTAATTTATCATTTTGAAAAGTTTGAAAATCTTGTGACAAAGACTTTTCCGACATAGGTTCTACCTTAAGAAAAATATTTGCAAATGTAACTAATTTTTAAATGAACATGTGGCTTTGCTGAAATGATGCAATATGATTAAGTTATAAATTTTAAACATCGAGAACAATTATGATTTTTTATGGAACTAGATGTAATCACGCGCAAGCGAGGGGAATTGAATTTTACCAATGCTGAAGGAACATTTCCAACAATATATAACAGTTTTTACAGACAGTTAATAACAGGCTTGTACAGCAAAAAAAAAAATTGTCAAAATCCCTCAGTTTTATGTTGTTTAGGAGCAGAAGTAAATATACGCCCACTTTCTTTGTGTTTTTTTAAAACTTGAAACATAACAGTTTAAATAAATAATAGACTTTTTCTGTTTACATGTTAGAAACTTATCTTGAAACCTGTTATACATACTGTACTTTCGATTTCCATCAAAGGTAAAAGAAGCAAATGTGCACATTTTACTGAATTTGTCAGCATTCTTTTTGTGAAAATTAGCATTTCACACTTTATGTGTAGGCCTATAGTAATATACTGTACGCAGAAAAAACCCACTGAAATTGATTATGAAAGCACAAATTTTAACAGCCATAGTAAAATGCGAATTAAAACTCAGAATATTCCATTTACTTCATATGTTTGAAAATACCATTTTCATTATTAAATAGACATTTTACCTATAGCAAGTTTATTACTATACGCACGTTTAACTTCGGGATCGATATAATTATGCCGTCAGTGGCGAAGATGTACATTTTTAGTACAAATTAATAATAGTCTTTCGATATATAAATAAATTCACAACTTAAAGTGTTATCAATTGCTTTACCATAATTTCGGAATCATGCCCATTCGAATAATTCTTTTTTAAATTTTATATTCATGTAGTGATGATCGCTCGTTTTTTTGGGGTGGGGGTGGGGGGAGTTGATTTTATACACTCCTCATAGTCAGCGCGTCAGGGGCGCATTAATACATACAAATGACAAACAGTCGCCAAGGGGGTGTCCTTGATTATATGCAGTATGTTGTAAAAATGGAAGAAAGGTTGAATTTAAATGACAGTTTTAACCAGTTTTGAGTTGATCCAAAATTTTGTAATTTAATTTGGGGCACACTGAGTATTTTTGGAGTGGAGAGGGGTGTTGAAGTAGCCCTTTTCCTTCTAAAACAAAATCGTGTGATTCGTATACATTTTGCAAACAAAGACCAAATATGTTGCTTTGTGGTTTAATATACCTGTAATGAAATATTTCATCTGGCTGCAATCATATTTAGATTCTAGTGAAAAGTAAAAATAAATAAATAAATAAATAAAAAGATACATTTAAAAATGAATTATGCCACAGAATAAGGCTTAATTTATAAACAAATGAAATTATTTACATGTAAATACACTGCAATTATGTCATAAAGTGTTCTAAATACAAATACCTATATATGTGTAACAATTATCATGCCCTTTTCTTTTGCTCCAAAGTATATTAACTTTATCAAGATAAATAAATAAGGGAAAAAAATCATTTCAATAAAGTTAGACATTAAAACCACTTTTCACAACTTTGAACCCTATTTTATTGTATGCATGTGAAATTTGTTTTTTTTTTTTAAACACATACACTAAAAAAAAATAACATCCTTGGCTGGACAATAGACAAGGTGTAATCCAAATTATTCTGTGATAAACTGAAATTTTGCAAATTAATACTTGGTGTACATAAATATGCAACAAATTTTGCTGTACTATCTGAGTTTGGTAGATTTCCCTACACTTCGACATTATATATAAGATCAAAGATAATCTATTATATTGGTGTAGACTTGAAAATCTGTAAGTCTTTTTCACTTTTACTAGATATTGTGAATCCAAATCACTATGAAAAAGGTGAAGATAACGAACAGTGATTGATCTTTAAAAAAAATCTATAAAAACGATACAAATCTCAGTGTAAAGATGACATAAATTTGAGAAGAATTGTTATTCCTGGTAATCACGTTGCTCCATTAATTTTTTCATCACCAATATAGATTGTATTTGTCGTGATTTAACTTTGGTCAGGGTATATTACTTGGTTAAATGTTGTATTATTGACAACTTGACCGTTGTTAATGAATATTCATTATTTTTGTAATATTTTTCAAAAAAAAAAAAATTATCAATCTTTTTATATGAAACATTAATAATTATTTGATCATATCCCTCATTATATATGACAATAATGAAGTTCTGATTTTCCCCACTAGGAGTGTTGTTTTTGTCCTATTTTTCGGGAAAAAAATTTAAATTATCAATCTTTTTTAGGGATGTCAACGAGTACCCGGTTAACCGGGTACTCGATCGAACATCCGAGTAT